TCAAACGCAAGACCCGGAAGCGTCTCATCATCCTCTCAGTCTCCACGGTGGTTCTGTTGGCGGTGATCATCGGCGTTGTCGCGGGAGTGATCATACACAAGCGGAACAACTCGTCGTCTTCTGTACCCAACTCGGACCCCGGCCCCGAATTGACTCCGGCGGCGTCGCTGAAGGCGGTTTGCGGCGTGACCCAGTACCCGAGTTCGTGTTTCTCGAGCATCTCCGCGCTCGAGACATCGAACAGCACCGATCCGGAAGTGATTTTCAAGCTCTCTCTGCAGGTCGCCATTCACGCCGCCGCGAAGCTTCCCGGGCTGCCGGCGAAAATCGGCCGGAACATCGCCAATGGCACCCACCTGAAGAAAGTTCTAGACGTCTGCGAGGGCCTGTTTGAAGACGTGGTTGACAGGCTCAACGACTCGCTGACCTCCATGGATGTGAATCAGGGCGACAAGCTTCTCTCCGCCGCCAAAATCAACGATATCAAGACGTGGTTGAGCACCACATTGACCGATCAGGAGACTTGTTTGGACTCTTTGGCGGATCTCAACTCGACCCTCGTTCAAGAATTCAAGGCGGCGATGCAGAATACAACTGAATTTTCGAGCAATAGTTTGGCGATTGTGGCGAAAATCCTGAGTCTTCTTGCGAATCTGAACGTTCCGGTTCACCGGAGGCTGCTCGGGGTCGGAGGATCAGAGGTGGATTTTCCGGGTTGGGTTAGTCCGGGGGATAGGAGGCTGCTGCAGGACAACAATGCGACGGCGCAGATAGTGGTGGCGAAGGATGGGACCGGAGATTTTAAGACGATTCAGGAGGCGGTGGATAATGGTGCCAAAGAAGAGCAAGAACAGGATTCTGATTCATGTGAAGCAAGGGGTTTATTATGAGAATGTGTTGATGGATAAGAGCAAGTGGAATGTGATGATGTTCGGAGATGGGAAGACGGAGACGGTGGTTTCCGGCAACTTGAGCTTTGTGGACGGCACCCCCACCTTCTCCACCGCCACTTTTGGTACTAATTCTTAATCGCCACCACATTCAATTTAGTTAATCCTGTGTTAATTAGTTTCCTAATTTATTCTGTCCTTGTTTTGGTTTGATTAATTTAATTCTTGTTTTGAGATTAAGCAATCAATGTTCGGATTTAGGAAAAACACCTAGCGAGATAGATCATGTATTTGTTGTGTGATATTAATATTATGTTGGAAGCACTAGTTGCAAATGTGGGCTAGTCCAATTGATAAGGGCCTGCCGGCTGCGTTTAGAAAACTAGCCAAATAGCCTCCAAGCCTCAAGGCATTCTAACATGGCTATTCCAATTGAAGGAAATTTCATATGGGAGTCACCCTTCTATCGAAGGGATTCACCGCCATCGTGGTCCCTTGGATCACTACACGTGGTCTTGTTCCAGAAGAGCACAATGACAGTGAATCCGTACTATAGAAGTCCTTCTTACTCATGTGAGGAATGTGAAACGTTGAGGTTGGAGGTAGGAAGGAGACCATAGACATTGGGACCAAGTCGCCTTTCTAAATTGATGACATTGATAAGGCTAAATTAGGAACCAGTCACATGGTTTATGCATCTTCGTGTTATCTATGATGTGCTAGTGCTACTCATTCAACTGTTGATATTGTTTTGTTGTTTTTTTTTATTGAAAAGAATCAAAAGATCAAAGCTTAGTTTTAATACTGTTAAGTTGGATTCAATATCTATCTGGGTGATGTGTGAGGACAGCAGATGCCCCCCACCATGTGCATGTCTGGTTTATGCTCAAATATATTGCTCGTTGTTCATGTGGTGGCCCCATTTGTTGCATATTTAATTTGCTGTGCAAGTTAGCAACTTAGCACATGCCTGCTTGCCCTGATATGCAAGTGTTGTCTGTCTATCCTGAATGACATCATGTGGCGGATCAGCTGACTTTTTCTCATTGATTGCCTGAAATTATGTTGTGTTGATGACCATGTGCATGTCATGGATTATGCAAGCTCCTGTTCTGAGAATTAGAAATTTTGGTAAATATAACCGCTGAATATGCGAGTATGTGTGAAGAATTCAAGGATGTTTAGCTGATGGATCCGAGCCACTTAAAGGCAATGCATATATTGTTGTATAGCAGAAGGACCCTAAACCCTAAAACATTAAACAATTGTTTGTAGTGGCCTGCACCAGTCATAAGAAAACACAACCCCTCCTATTGGTTTCTATGCAAGTATGCATTTTAAGATTATAGGAAGTGTCCCTAAAAATTGTCAAGCAATTAGGATGATTCCTTGTGTTCTTGCATTCACATTCTCTCATAAAATGTGTTGGGTTTTTATGTCTTCAGACTGAGAGACGTGATTGAGAATTCATGTTTTGATTCAAACTGTTATGTGTTTTAGCTTTCTGACTTATATATAAACTCAATGTGTTTGGATTCTTACTGTGATTACATATTGGATTGCCAGCCGTCGCGGGGAAAGGCTTCATTGTGAAAGATATGGGATTCATCAACACTGCAGGAGCAATAAAGCACCAGGCAGTGGCATTCCGCTCTGGTTCGGACCTCTCTGTGTACTACAGATGCTCGTTTGATGGCTTCCAGGACACCCTCTATGCGCATTCCAACCGACAATTCTATCGGGAATGTGACATTACCGGGACCATAGACTTCATTTTTGGCAATGCAGCTGTAGTTTTCCAGAACTGCAACATCCAGCCCAGGCAACCTATGGTGAACCAGTTCAACACCATCACAGCTCAAGGCAAAAAGGACCCGAATCAGAACACTGGCATTTCAATCCAAAAGTGCAGCTTGTCTGCGTTAGACAGTAATCTCACTGCTCAAACATATCTGGGGAGGCCTTGGAAGGATTACTCCACCACAGTCATCATGCAGTCTGACATTGAATCATTCTTGAACCCATTGGGTTGGAAGGAATGGGTTACCAATGTTGACCCACCCAACACCATATTCTATGCAGAGTACCAAAACAGTGGGCCTGGATCACGTGTGGATCAAAGGGTTAAGTGGGCCGGTTACAATCCTACTCTTACGGATGATGAGGCGGCCAAGTTCACGGTAACGTCATTGATCCAAGGCGGTGAGTGGTTGCCGGCGACTGATGTGGCATTTGAGACTACCTTATGATCCAAGAAATCCAAGAGTTGCTGAAAATTCAATCGTTCAGAAATCAATCTCTAGAAAGAATATGGTTTGATATATTTTCTGTCTTTCACGTTCTATCATTACGGTTTGGTAGCCACACATATCTGTTACACTTTGTGTATGTCCTCTTCCTTTCTTGCCCTTCTCTACCACTCTCCCCTGGAAAGTCATGTAATTACATTCTCTTTTGATTGGTACACTTGAAAATACCTGAAATATTCTGATCAAGATTTAGTTCAAATTAGCGTTGAAGAACTCTCTCTCTTCAATTTCCCGAAAATCAATTGTTTTCAATAAGAAAAACTCACAATTTTGAGTCCGAACGTCTATATATGGCACCAGACACGAGTGTGAGACTAAGATACAAAGGGTTAGGTATTGTAGCACAAGGGAGAGAGAAATTCTCCCGTCTAGAGTTCATATGCGGAGCACCAAACCAAATGGGAGGTGACCAAATACGAGTGATGGGGCGTATTGCGTGTGATATTCGACGATCACGTAGACCGATCATCCTCACCAATGAGTTTCTCCAAGTGACGGGAATAAAACAGATTGGGGAAGTGAGAGAAGAGGATGGGTTGGTGGAGATAGAGCGTGGGATGATAATACTTCTTTATCAAACGTTTAATGCGTTTATTTTACTTACGAGGCACTGATTATAAGTTGTAGGGTATTTTCTTTTTCTTGGTGAATAAGTTTGTATATGTAATTGCTTGGTGCAAAAGTTTTCCTCTACTGATGGGTTATGGCCATGCAAGGACTCTTGATGCGGTATTGACAAAATGAAAAGTACTAATGGAGATTTAACGCGATGATGGAAATATTGGACAGATATGATGTATTACAAACTTAAAATTCACACAAATTCAAGATTCGTTGTGTATATGAGTAACACAATTAAAACACTTATTTATAACATTCTTCAACTAAGTACAGATGACGTTTTACCACAATGATAAAAAACAATCATGCATATGCAGCTTGATGCAGTTTGATTTCCGCAACTAATTAAAAAAAAAAAAACTAAAAGTAAATTGTTTAGGTCTTCCTCTTAAATCAAATACCTTAGTGATTCAAACCCTTCTATAGATATGGCTGTAATAAAGTAATTAAAAAATGCTAGTATTATCTTATGTAGCCTCACATGGAGATGTTTTCCGTTTTGGTTGGAATGCGATTGGTCTGAAGTTTTTATTTAATATTCTTATTCAAGATGTAAACGTTTTAATTAGAATTTAATAAAATTTACCTTTGACAAAAAAAAAAATCATTTTTGTTCAATTTTTCTAATCAATAGTTTGATTTTATTTCTTTATTGATCTTATTTAATTTTGCTTGCTTAAAGAATCAAGCGTTTGACACGAAAGGAACACAGATAAATGAGTAATGCATGATGTGGATGTAATCCAACTTCCAAGCGCTGCGTATGGAAAAAAAAAGGAGGACTAGTTCTCTTCTCTCTAAATTCTCTCCTCTTTTCTCTCGATCCTCTTTCTAAATCAATAAAAAATTTTAACGTAACTTAATTGTAGTCGTTTAAATAGAATGAGAGAATATAGAGACAGATAATCTTTGACACAAAATTTTAATATAACTTAATTGTAACCGTTTAAATACAAGAACAAAATATAGAAGGAGATAATCTTACTTGCAAAAAAAGGCAGTAGAAAAGTATGACGTGTCAATGCGTTGAAAATCCAAATAAAACCAGAAGTCATTATCCGTGGGCGAAGGCCATCGAAACGGTGATAAGAGGGAGAGGTTTCCTTAACGTGCCCAGAAAACGTGAAAATTTGCCGTTTTGCATCACATCGCGCGTGGAGTCTCGCTACTTTTTCCTTCCCTCTATAAAAACAGAGACTGTAGAAGATGCGGAAATTTGGCAGCGGCAGAGTCAGAGATCTTCTCATCCGTTCCTTTCAGCAAAAGCAGATTCGTTCAACCACCTCCTCCTCTGTGTTTTCTTCTTCTCACTCGCGTTTCCTGTCCGCTGCTCCAGCTGTAGATGCCCCTCCTTCTTCTCGTCCCATGGCTGATCACTCTGCTTCACGTCCCTCTCCTCCCGTCACTCTCCAGAACATCAATCCCAAGGTTTGTGATATTTTTCCCAACTGGGTTTTTGATCTTTTCTCAGTTGGGTTTTTGTTTATGTTTTTGTATTTTTGTTTTGCTTATTTTTGCTGTTTTTGTGCAGATTGCTGTGTATTTTCATGCGTATTTTGGTGTTTGTTTACTGTTTGATTGGTTTTGTCTGTGTGGATGATCAAAGGTTTTTGATTTATTGTTTCTGCATCTGGGTTTGCTTTGATTTGTTTGTTATTTTAATCCAGATAGTTCATTTCGTCTTTAATTTTCATGTATTTTCTTAAAATTTATAATAATAATTATTAACAAATAAATGATTGATGATGGATCATGGATGTATGGCGCATTGGTGTGGTTAATTTTTATTTTTTCTATTTTATTTCAACCCACACTGGCTCTTTTGTTCTGGACCTCAGTTAGTTATTTTATATTTTAACTTTTGACAAATTAATTTCACTCATCACTCATATCTGGATCACTCTGATTAGATTTATTTGATTCGTTTTTATTTTTCAAGAGGGTAGTAATTGAATTGATTGGTTATTTAATCTAGGTTTTTGTTTCTCACAGTCAAATACTTAAACTTGTTTCTTGATTTCCTAGTACTGGTGAACATTTTCTATTCCATTTGTCACCCCTCACATATAATTTTTACAGGTTTTGAAATGTGAATATGCTGTCCGAGGTGAAATCGTCACCCTTGCCCAGGTACATACATTGACTGTATAGAAATTAATCAAGTGAGGTAATTCTATCCCTTTATCTTAATCTCGACTGTAATGTCGTCCTGTGACAGAGGTTACAAGAAGAGTTAAAGGCGAATCCAGGCTCTCATCCCTTTGATGAGGTGTGTTTACTTTCTCCCTTGATGAGTTACAGTATTAATCTGTATCTTTTAAGACATTTCTCTCACTTGGGTACTCACTGTGAACATATGTTATACAGATTCTCTACTGCAATATCGGAAATCCTCAGTCTCTTGGTCAACAACCGATAACATTTTTCCGAGAGGTTGGTTTAGTGGACTACATGGTTGATAACTTTAATGCTGAAACATCTCATATAATCCTTGATTGTTACAATCTTTCTTTCAGATTCTTGCATTATGCGACCATCCAGCCATCTTGGACAAAAGCGAAACACAGGGTTTGTTCAGGTATTGGAAAAATGTAACATATAAGAATATATATTTTAGGCTGCCCTACAATCCTATTCAATTCAATTCTAGGAATTCATAGAGAAGTCTTCCTAGAAGTTAAAAATCTTATCTTTCTGTTGATATCTTTCTTACCCGTTGCAGTGCCGATGCAATAGAGCGGGCATGGGAGATTCTGGATCAAATTCCTGGAAGAGCAACTGGTGCTTACAGTCACAGTCAGGTAATGATCGTAGGATTTACATCACATAAATTTGTAAAACTAGGACGAAACTCAAGCAATATGTCATATATTTCACCCACTTTGGCATCAGGGTATCAAGGGTTTACGTGATACAATTGCTGCTGGAATTGAAGCTCGTGACGGATATCCTGCTAATCCGAATGATATTTTCTTAACCGATGGTGCAAGCCCTGCGGTATCTCCTGAGTTCCCTTCTGTTCAATTTTAGTAGCGTCACAGTGTTCCTCAATATATTAAGTTCCACTTCATTACATATCATCTCCATTTCTCTCTTTCCAGGTCCATATGATGATGCAATTGCTGATAAGTTCAGAGAAGGATGGGATTCTTTGTCCCATTCCTCAATACCCTTTGTACTCTGCATCAATAGCCCTCCACGGTGGCACACTGGTATGTCTGGATTTTAAGAGGTTTATCCATTTGATAAATGTCAATAGATATAAATTATTTTGCATTTATACTCAACTATTGAAGCACTACTAGTTATTGGCTAAAACTCGAGATTAAACTGATTAGTGAATTGCCTGATTATTGGGAAATTGACGTTAAATGACTGCTAGAAACTAGAAATTGGAAGAAAAAAAAAAAATATATATATATATATATATATCATTTATTGTTGTAAGAATTCAAATCTGTGGCTTGGTGTACGCAGGTTCCTTACTTTCTTGATGAAGCATTAGGGTGGGGATTGGAAACTTCCGAGTTGAAGAAGCAATTGGAGGATGCGAAGTCCAAGGGTATCAATGTAAGGGCCTTGGTTGTGATAAATCCAGGCAACCCAACAGGACAGGTGAGATGAATGGCTTTTAATCAGAAAATTCCTTGTCAATATTGGAGTTTTCTCAAGGGAGTGTTCTTGGAAGAGAATCTTGTGCATAATTCTAGAATGTCATTGGTTAAGTTTTATGGTATCTTGTCTGCAGGTTCTTGCCGAGGACAACCAGCGGCAGATTGTGGACTTCTGCAAGCAAGAAGGACTTGTTTTGCTGGCAGATGAGGTAGATGGACTTTTTTGTTGGAAGATTTACGTCAATTACTTTGTGACATGGTTGGAGTATTGTAATTGTTGTTAGAAACTTCTATAGCTACTTCCTGGTCTAATGTTTTGTTGAATTTTGCACAGGTTTATCAAGAAAATGTTTATGTACCTGATAAGGAGTTTCATTCATTCAAGAAGGTATCCCGATCTATGGGATATGGCGAGCAGGATATTTCTCTGGTATCATTTCAATCAGTCTCTAAAGGTAATTAGGTGGATCATTATGTTTGTCATGATGGTGAGTAGCTCATGGAAATTAATGAACCCGGAAGAATTTGTCATTGTTTTTTCTTCTTCTGTAGGGTACTACGGGGAGTGTGGAAAAAGAGGTGGTTACATGGAAGTCACTGGAATCAGTCCTGAAGTAAGGGAACAAATATACAAAATGGCATCCGTAAATCTTTGTTCTAATATCTCGGGTCAGATTCTTGCAAGCCTTGTCATGAGTCCACCAAAGGTGAGTTTATTATCTTTTAGTAATCTTGTATTTGACTTTTATGGTAGAAATTAAGTTGGGTTCAAATATTGGAATGTCCGAAATGGGAGAAGGCATATACTAGTTTAAAACCATTTGGCAGACGCTTGTGACAGTTCTGAGGCGTTTTCAAGCTTATTATTTAACAAATTTCCAAACATTTCAAATCAGAAAATTTTGAACCATTTTCTTCTGTTAAGTGTGCCATTGGGGCTTTGGAGGAGTACAATTTTGCTCGTCATTGCACTTAAATTTGTTACACATGGCATGGGGATCTGGAAATTCAGTTGATCTTAAACTTGGTAAATCAAATAAGTTTGTTTTCTATTGATGAAATTTTTTGGTTGAATTCAGGTTGGAGATGAATCCTATGAAATGTATTTGGCAGAGAAGGATGGAATTCTGTCATCCCTAGCAAGGCGTGCAAAGGTTAGTGAATTCTGTCATCGCGAGACAGTAAAGACAATAGGATGACTTTAGTTTCTGAAGTTCAGTGAACTTTTTGCATAGTGCGGCTGATTTTCTTTTGAAACACAGGCATTAGAAGAAGCATTGAACAGCTTAGAGGGTGTGACATGCAACAGAGCAGAAGGAGCAATGTATCTCTTTCCCTGCATAACCCTGCCGCAAAAGGCAATTAAAGCAGCAGAGGCTGAAAAGACAGCCCCAGATGCATTCTACTGTCACTGCCTTCTCAATGCCACAGGAATTGTTGTCGTTCCTGGTTCTGGTTTTGGGCAGGTTAGTTTTATTTATTGTTGTACTGCAACTTAGCGTGGTAGGAATGGCTGCTCACCTAAATTGAAAATATTATGCAGCCTATCGAGTGGTAATACGATATTACCCTGGCCTTCTATATTTCTAAGAAACAATAATAAGTGAACCTCGTGGCAGAACAGTGAAATGTTTGAATTTTGAGTGTTCTAGGGAATAGGATCGCGTTTAATTAAACAAAACTATAAGAAGTTGACAAACCCTTCATTTTGTTGATTAGGATTATTATGCAATTGTCATGTTGAGTAGTTTTAACTGAAGATTGTTTCCATTGCACTGTGACAGGTTCCGGGCACCTGGCATTTCAGATGCACTATATTGCCCCAAGAGGATAAAATTCCAGCCATTGTCACCCGTCTGACGGACTTCCACAAGTCGTTCATGGACGAGTTCCGCGACTAGAAAACCCTTGTGGTGTGATCTTTCAGGATAAGCGCCAAATAGAGATGAACATTTGTGTCAAAACTTTATAATCTTTTGTTCATGCGGTAGATAAACAGGTCCAGGTACAGTCGTACTGGCTGTTATGAGAATAACATGTTATTCTTACTAGGGCTTTTTCTAGTTTGAATGGCATATCAAGTTGTGCATCATTTTGTTTTCTTGTTTTTAGACCATCAATAATATTTAGCTTTTTCAATAATGGCACTCTGAATAGCAATATTTCTAGTACCTTAGTACATATCACTGAATGGTCTGAAATAAATATTAATGGTTAAAGCTTGCATATAGAGATCTAATGAATAATTGCAACGGATATTTTTGCAGATAACTTGTCCAAGGAGAACATATCATGTTAATTAACATCATGCTTTCTATTTCACTAATCATGTGACATCACTGGTCTTTTTCATCTTCATGATTAAACAATTATAGACTGAGGTAGCAATCAAAGGGGGTAATTAAAACATCACATCTTTTAAGTAGTCAGAATTTAAGTTATTGGTCCTTAAAAGTTGATAGTCATGGTTTACTTACTCGCTTTTTATTAGGATTTTGCACACCGGCAGAGGAGAATAATTTATATAGAACGGGTCACCGTTAGATGACGTTTCTTATTTAATAATGTACATAGCATTTGTATAGAACGGGTTACCGTCACATAACGTTTCTTATTTAATAATGCACATAGTAGTTGTATAGAATGGGTTACCGTCACCGTCAGATGACGTTTCTTATTTAATAATGCACATAACATTTATATAGAACAGGTCACCGTCACATGACGTTTCTTATTTAATAATGCATTGCTATGTGTGATTTTTTTTTTTTTACATAACAATATCTTATTGGATCGGCACCCTATGTAACAGTGAACTTGTTCCTTGTAAATTGCTCTCGAACATGAAGGTTTTTCTGCAAGATATGGTGTTCACTAATGGTTAAACCATATGACTCATTAGCATTTATAGAAATCCATAAGTGCAATTTCACAAGTTGGAGGAGGGTATAGGCAAGGCAAGGCACTCGCCACTTTGAAAAGTAATTGCTTTTGTGCAACTCCACTTGTTTGTCAAGGAGGGATTACTATTTTCTATTATATATATATATATATATATATATATATATATATTTATTTTGTCTTGAAAATGTGAACTTTGTAAGTTTGTTTTTTTGAAAATAAAACTAAACGTTTAACTATTCAAAAAAAAAAAAAAAAACAAACTAATGTTTAACTCCAATATTTAATTTCAAATACAAAGGAAAGTTTATCATTACAACAAGCATAATTAATTAAAAACAAAGGTAAATGAAGAAGATGGTTGGGTATTTATATAAAAAAAAAGTAAAAAAATAAATTCATTTTTGTTCTTTTTTTTTTTCTTTCCATTTTTAAGGATTGGATTAATCTTCACCGCTTGATTTTTCATATTATTGAATCTAATGCACAAGAACGTTCACGTGGTGCAACCGTAACTTTTTTTCAAATTATATTTTATCGTTGGAAATCCAAGGGTTCAGATCATTGGACCATTGGAAATCTAATGGCCATCATCGCCCAACGTCATAGAGTCGTTGTGCTCTTCAGATAAGGCTGCTGCAGCAGGTCCCACGACAATAGAAGCTGTTGGCCCACTTGCTCGGATACGTGTGTATTACACACGCCAGACAAAAACAAATAATAGAACGTGGCTGACGTCAAACATGCCTGCTGGCTTGAAGGCCGGGCTTGAATTGTAAGGGTAGTTGGCGGGCTTGGCCTGGCCCACCAATTGTCCTTCTTTTGATCCCTAGTTGGAATGCGAAGATGATCCAAAGTTGGAATTTATTGCAAACTTGAATTGAAAGAGATATTGGAGAGGGCAAAGATGAAGGTGTGTGAATTCTAGCCCAATATCCAGCCAATTTATTAACATTGGAAGCTGAAGATAAGAAGTGCCACGTAGATAAAAACCCTATCTAAAATTTGCACAACCAATTACATCTTGACACGTGGCACTCGAAATCCTATCCAAAAAATTATTAAGATTACATAAAGATAAGAAATCTGGAAAGTTACTTACTTTAGTGACACTTGTCACTAGAAATCCTATTAAAAAATTATACATAAAGATAAGAAATCTGGAGAATTATTCACGATAGCGACACGTGTCACTTGAAATCCTATCCGAAAAATTACTAAGATTATAAAAAGATAAGAAATCCGGAGGTTTAGTCATTTAGCGACAGGTGACACTTAAAATATGTCCGAAAACCTTACTTGTCACTCGAAATCCTATCCGAAAAATTACTAAGATTATAAAAAGATAAGAAATCCGGAGGTTTAGTCATTTAGCGACAGGTGACACTTAAAATATGTCTGAAAACCTTATTTTAGTATAATAGTTTAAGTAATTAACCATATTAATTATGTTTGGCCTATGGCCCTTTGGTCCCCTCGGTTGGAGTTGGACTTTTTGTCAAAGGGTTATGTTTGGCCTATGGCCCTTTGGTTCTATCGGTTGGAGATGGTAAAAAATATGGCTTGACACTGTTCATTAAAATATAATTTATTGCAAGATTATAGGGCTAAACATGACCATTTGGCATTCCTTCGATTGTAGATGGTCTAAAGTGCAATTGAGAAGCCATTGCCCTTGCCCTTTGGCAATGAGTGGAATTGCTCTAAAAGAATACACCTCGTCACCATTGTGTGTGTGTGTATATATGTATGGATATAACTTTTGAGAGAGGTTCTTCTTCCTTTTGTTGTATATTGTATATTGGTGTTAATCTTCGAGTTAGACTCCATAATGAAGACAAAGTGGTCCAACAAATACCACCATTACAACTTTAGGGAATGAGTGATCGCCACCGTGATATGATGTCATGTGTAAAAAAATTTCATAAAACGTTGAGTTTCTAAACCTGAATAAAATATTAATGATAAACTCATTTTACGCAAGTTGCTAACAAATTTTAGACTCAGAAACTTTAAGAGCCATCATAATAACCTTTTGCTGCAACTGCAAGAGTGCCGCAAAAGCAATAACATTTGAAATGGTTGGGTCATTTAAGACAAAGTGGTGCAGCTTTTATCATCAAATGAGATCAAATCTTTGGTCTCTTCGAGCACGTAAAAAACAAATTATTACTGTGCCAAAATCTCTCTTTGCCATTTGCTAATAGTAAAAGTATATATCCTTTTCTTTCTTCTCGTGCATGGCTGCATGCAGACAGGTTACAGGTAGGTCCCAAAGGTTCCAAGTTCCAACAATGGCAGGACGATAATATTGTGGTGTTCTTGGATTCTGGGGTAATAAGCCAATAAGCCAATAAGCCAAATAACAAAGAACAAAACTGCTTTCCACTTCAGATGTTTTCCGAGTCCAGTCTAACCTTCAGCTCTCATGTGATCTTTATTTTAAAGCATATTTAAATAGGGTGAAAATTGAACTACAACCTAGTGATTTAGAGGTAAATGACAGATTGCGAGGAGACTTTTTTCAAATTAAAAATTGGAGGTCTTGGGTTCGAAACCCACTTCTAGTTTAGAACTTAGACTTGTGGCTAGTAAGAGACTGAAATGCCTCAGTGAGTCTTTTCGGCCCCCGAAATGGATGGATAATCGTGACTTACCATCAGTTGTCCCCTCTTTTTTATTTTATTTTCAAAAAAGGGTGAAAATCAAGGACCTCAAATCCAAAAGTAAATATGTGGGAGCTCCAATATAACAGTGAATATATGGGTTTCAATAACTCGAGCTATAAGTTCTTTCTAAATGTCAAGACTTTAATGGGAAGAAGAAAATGTGTTTTAGTTCGGCCTTAATTTGTTATGATTTTGATAAAACTAAACGAAATAGTTATCAAACGGTCCAAGATTTTGCAGTGTCACTAGCCTATAGTTTTTCCAAGAAATTTGAGGATCTACCAATTGATAATATAGGGAATAACCGACTACTTATAAGCATATGCAAAGTTACTCATTCTAACAATGTGTGATTCTTTTGAATCGTCTTTACTTGGATAAAAAAAAAAAAAACACAAATTCTTTATACAAGCGATATCGGGAATAAAAATTAGACTTGGAACTTCATGTGTAAAGATTAATGCTCTTAACGAAGTATAGGACTGATAAAATATCATTTGCAGGTTATCCTTTAATACTTTGATTAAGAGTTGAGACATTGTTCATGGGTTAGCGATTAGGGGTGCAAGTTTGCATTTTCAATTCCGCCAATTAATTTCTAATCTAAATATTCTTTAAAATTCAGAATTAAATTGGAAAACTTGTTTTTGATCCGATTGTGCCGAAAATCACCCCTAATAGTGATTGTCACACTCCCGATTTTTCTGTCTGCACTTCTCGTCTATCAATCCTCCCTTCGTTATTCAATCCTCACACAGAGGAAGCTTAGAATACGAAAATCGCTTCCCTTGTTCATAGGTTAATTGTAGATTCTAATTTCGATTCGATTTCCCCTTGTAACGGAAAAAAAAAAAAAACCAATGACCTAGTGTTGCACCCATTACTGCTCTTTTTTTTGGACTTACGGTGCAGCCTCACTCTGCAAATTAAGAAATATATATATATTTTTTGCATTTTTTTCCTTTCATGATCTGGGTTGTTAATGGTTATTGCAAGGGAAGCAGCCGCAAGAAATGTGGCCAGAAAAATGAGGGTTGTGCCTATTTGTGATCATCTTGTGTGCTGCTTTGTTGGTGGCCTTGTGGATTTGTTCAGAGTGCTGCTGCCTCGCTGTTGCACTCCACTCCTCAGCTTTTCTGTGAACTACTGCCATCCTCTTCATCAGCTTCTCCTCCAGGTTCGATCTCATCTTCTGTATCTTCACCTATAACCCAAAACAAAAATGCATCAGCCAGTTAACTACAAATGAAGTTCAAGTGAAAAAGGAGAAATTTGTAGACGTGAGCGTAACTACATTGTGTAAAGTGGATGAGCTCCGGTTATGCAGGCAATTAAAACTAGAAAGAGAGTTTAGGGTGACTATTATGTCACGGGCTCCATAAGTGTCCACTAGTAACGCTATCCCCACTTAACCACCTAGGCCGAATCCCTTGGGTGGTATCAAGCCCAATGAACCTTAGGTGTAGGTTTTATTTTAAAAGATCTCGGTACAATTAGAAGTGGAACACCTATATTTAAACCTTAGAATATTGTTGTACTTCTCTGATGTGGGATTCTCTTCACATCCATCTT